GGGGGGAGGGGGCGCGGGCCTCCCACATCCTCACATTATGCTGATAGGAACACACACACATTCAGGTGACCTTTGCAAAAAGAAATCAGAGGTTCTGATGGGCTGCCTCCTGCATGCCCCCTACTGGGGATCAAGCCCACAGCCCAAGCATGTGCCTTGACCAAGAATACAACCAAGATCTCCTGGATCCTAGGTTGATGCCCAGCCAGTGAAATATGTTGTCTGCTCCTTGACAAGGCACGGGCCTCACACTGTAGAAGAAAATAATCATGAACAAGTTCGGGTCAGTCGTCATAGATGGTGACATTCTCAACAGCCCACTGCATGCTCAAAATGTCCCAAAGAATCCCCATTACCCAGTCCTGTCCCCTCTACCCAACCCCTCCCTATATCAGGGTCTCATCTTCAGAAGCCATGAGAGACACATCACAGCCCTCAACACTGTCACTGCCTGGGATAGAATAAGACAGGACAAGGTCAGAGCCCCCAGGACAGGGGACTAAAGGAGGAACTATGGGGGGTGAGGTCCCCTATGGGCTCCCATCTACAGTGTCACAGGGTCTCAGGGGTCACCCCCTCCATACTCACTGGCAGCCTGAGCGTAGCTCCATCCTTTTGCAGCTGTGGGAAGAAAACATCCTGTGAGAGACCAGGGAGGAGGCAGGGCCGTGAGGTCCTACAGGAACCTCTAGTCCTAGACCCCAGAGAAGTTTCCAGAACTGTGACTACAGACCCAGAGCAGGGCCAGGAAACTTGAGGAAAGTACATGTGCAGGGACTGGACCCACAGTCCTCCTGGAGGTCTGTCCTCAGCAAGGACCTGCCCTCTGCCCTGCTAGGAATCACGAAATGGCCAGATTCATCAAGGAGACAGTTTCCTCTCTTTTTTAAATGCTCACTCGAGGATATTTTTTCCCAGAGATTGGAACGGAGAGGAAGGGGGGGAGGGGAGACATCGATGTGAGAGAAACATCGACTGGTTGCCTCCTGCATGTGTCCTGACGGGCTGGGGATTGGGCCTGCAACAGAGATATGTGCTCTCAGCTGGAATTGAACCCATGACCCTTCAGGCCACAGGCCGATGCTCTAACCACTGAGACAAACCAGCTAGGGCAACTTTCCTCTTTTTCAGATGTGCTTTTCAAAGGAGTGTTAGCAAAAAGGACCCCAGACTAGGTAAGCACATCTGTGTGGATGGCACCTCTCAGCATTATGGCAAGAGACTGGAAAGTTTCTACCTATGACTTAAAAACCCCAAATTGGGACAAGAAAACTCAGACTCCACCCGTTTCCTACCTGTACCCTTCTTCCCCCACATCACAGCTCCAGCTGCCAGAGTTCCAGCTGCCACAGCTCCAGTGACCACAGCTCCAAAAACAAGGACAGCAATGAAGGTGGGCTGAAGAGGTGGCTCTGGGAGGGGAAGGGAAGGGAAGGGAAGGGAAGCTGAGGGCCCTGACTGCCACGCCTCAGCTCCCACCCTGCTAAAGTCCTCCAGAGGCCCCTGCTTCCCTGAGAACAGGCCCTGTGCCCACATCCCCTCCTCACCCCATCTCAGTGTGCGGGGCTCGGGCAGCCCCTCGTGCTGCACATGGCACGTGTATCTCTGCTCCTCTCCAGGGGGCACCACCACGGCCGCCCACTTCTGGAAAGTCCCGTCCCCCGCAGGCCTGGTCTCCACAAGCTCCGTGTCCTGGGTCTGCTCCTCCCCATCGCGGTGCCAGGTGAGGGTGATCTCCGCAGGGTAGAAGCCCAGGGCCCAGCACCTCAGGCTGACCTCACGGTCAGAGATGGGGTGATGGGTCACATGTGTCTCTGGGGGATCTGATGGGAAGGATGAGAAAATTCAGGAACTTTGCATCATCTTGGGACACTCCAGCAGCATTCATGTGTCCATCCTGAGGATGGACAGGACACCTGGGGTGGGGGAAGGGAGCACACAATCCACACACCAGTGTGGACAGAGTCAACTGGCATGATCTCCTAGTCTTTGGAAATTTCTAAAGTCAGAGTGAGACAGCCCAGGGTAGGAGGCAGGTCTCTGAGGGGAGAAAAGGGATTTGTGGTCCTGACCTGGGTGGAGGCCAAATTACTCAGAAATGTCGGGGTCAGACCTCAGACACACTGGGTGAGGGGCATCGAACAAGGCCTGAGAGGGAATGTCTCCCATGGGTCCCAGAGCCACAGCCAGGGTCAAAGAGGCCCACTGATGGGTTATTTCAGGGTTAGTCTCCTCCTCCATCCCCGGACAGACTGCACCCTAATTGTCCTCGAGAGAAAAGTGGGAGTCACTCTCTGCTACTGGACCTGCAGTCTCCCCGCGCACGCAAGGGGGCCTTACTCTGATGCTGATCCCACTGCCTTCTTTGCTGTCTGCAGGCCCCAGCCCGAGGGGAGACGGCCGCCCTCGGCCCCCGGTACCTGCGCGCTGCAGCGTCGCCTTCCCTTCGTCCAGGTATCTGCGGAGCCACTCCATGCACTCCGTCCCCAGGTAGTTCCTCCGGACCTCCGCCTCGTCCACAGACTCGTACTTGCGCCGGGAGATCTGAGCCGCCGTGTCGGCCGCGGTCCAGGAGCGCAGGTCCTCGTTCAGGGAGATGTAGTC